CCCAGCCCCCTGTGCCCGGATCTTGCTGCCCGGCCCCTGTGCCCCGCAGGCACGGCGGGGGTGATGATCTCGCTGAGCCGTATCCTCACCAAGCTGCTGCTGCCGGACGAGCGGGCCAGCACGCTCATCTTCTTCCTGGTCTCCGTGGGGCTGGAGCTGCTCTGCTTCCTGCTGCACCTGCTGGTTCGCCGCAGCCGCTTTGTGCTCTACCACACGGCCCGGCCCCGGGACAGCCGTGCCCGCCGCCAGGGTGCTGGCTACCGTGTGCACCACGACGTGGCCACCGGGGATGTCTACTTTGTGAGTCCGTGTCCCCTCTGTCCCTGCCGGGAGGTGGGCAGGCACTGTGCCACCCTCTGGTCCGCCGGCTCTGGGCCCTCCGCCCCGGGGACTCTGGACTCCACCTGGGTCCGGGGCCTTCACCTTCCACGGTCTGAGGCCTCATCCCCAGTGACGCCACCAAGCCTGTGGCCTGAGGTCCCCTCTCTGTGGTGACCCTACATCTCTGATCTGAAACCCCTCAACGTCCCATGGCCTACGTACGTTGCCAGCACACCTTCTGCCCTGCAGCCTCAGCCAGATGGTCACCCCCTTGGTCACTGCCACTCTGTGACCCCTTGGTCACTTCTTCCATGTTTTCTAGAGATGAGACAAACCAGGGTGGGAACCAGCCCCACTTATTTTCTGTGCTCCACGTGGGTCAGGAAGAGGAGCTGAAGGGTGAAGGACCCTCCTAGGAGGGGACACTGGAGCCAGACAGGAAAGGGGGTGGGCATGCAGGTGGGGACAAAGGAACCAGAGAGCGAGAGACTGAGTCCTGTGCTCCTTGCTGAGGTCAGGACCCACCTGGGGCTCCCCCTCCCAGCCACACACCTGCTGGGGCCATAGCATGGACAGCCAGGCGGCAGCTCCTGCCACACCCTTGGTGACCACTGCAGGACTCACTGCATCATCTTAGGAGGGGGCGCCCTCTGCTGGTGCAGGACTGCAAAGGCACCCACAGGACCCTGGTGTGGGCGTGGAGCCCAGTCCACTGTGGGCTGAACCTAACCTGGGCAGGGAAAGGCAGCTCGGGGTACAGCTCCCAGGGGACCTCAGCCCTTCATTGTTCTTGTTAGCAGAGAGGAGCACTGACCAGTCACCAGGACCTGAGCTGGGGACACGTCAGGGACCCTGAGTAGCCCAGTGGGTCTCTCAGGCAGGAAAAGAAATGGTTTCTAAGGGTCGACAGAGGAACCCGGGGGATAACCACAGGGCGTGTGAGGAGGCCCACAGCAGGAAAGGACCGTGCCCCTGACTGGCCAGCGAGGTCCCCGGGGGACAGCGAGGCCAGCGTGGCTCTGTGGGGTCAGGGAGGGTTCTGCGGCTTGTCTGGACAGGACACTGTCCCTGGGGTCAGAGGAGCCACAAAGTAGAAGTCTGAGCCCCAGAAATGTGAGCGACCCTGGGGAAGTGGGGTCCACAGCAGGTGCTGACTGAAGGTGGCTCTCTGCCCACTGGGCTTGGGGAGGTACCGAGAGACCCTCTGGACAGCCCAGTCCTGTTGCCCAAGCCCACCTCTGAGGTCCGAGGCCCCCGTCCAGCTGTGACATGTCACGGGGTTCTACCTGTGTCTACCTACACCTGACCCACATCCCCATCCTCCAGGAGCACCAAGCTGCAGCCCTGGCCAGTGGGGGGTCCCCCAAAGACAGCCCGGCACACGAGGTGACCAGCGGTGGGGGAGGAGCCTACATGCGCTTCGATGTCCCTCGGCCCCGGGTCAAGCGGAGCTGGCCTAGCTGCAGAGGTGAGGGACCCTGTCCTCTGGAACCAGCCCGGAGGCTCCCCAGACTGTGTGACCCCATGTGGTCCGAGGCCTCGCCCTCTATGGTGACCCCACAACCATGGTCCAAGGCTCCCCTGCTTGTACTCTCCACCCCCTTGGTCTAAGGCCCCCCACCCCTGTGGTGACCTCATGTCTGTGGTCTGAGGCTTCTCCCTTGTGGTGACCCCACAACTGTGCTCCGGGTCTCCCCAACTTGTCCTCTCCATGCCCATGGTCTGAGGTTCCCATCTGTGGTCCAAGGGCCCCCCATCTTCCACACCCCACAACTTAAGATGGTCCCCTCAGGGCCTCGTCCACCTCCACTGGAGCAGGTGGTGCTCAAGCAGGTTGTCGGGGAGCTGGATGCGGGACAAAGGGGTGGGCGCTGAGGGAAGTGGGATGGGGGCAGATGGGGAGGGGGTGGGTGAGGGAGGTGGCATGGGGGACAGATGGGTGAGGGAGGTGGAATGGGGGGCAGATGGGGAGAGGGAGGGGGAGGGTGGTGAGTGGGGGACAGATGGGAAGAGGGTGGGAGGGGGTCAGGTACTGAGGGAGTTTGGGGATGGAGGGGAGGGGGTGGGTTAGGGAAGTGGGGTGGGGGACAGATGGGGTGATGGCGGTGAGGTGGGAGATGAATGGGAAGAGGGTGGGTGAGGGAGGGAGGTGGGGTGGGGGACAGGTGGGGAGAAGGAGAGAGGATGGGGAGGGAGGGAGGGAGGTGGGTGAGGGACGGATGGGGACAGGGATGGGGACAGGGTGGGGAGGGCGTTGGGGGCACACGTGGGACAGGCGCTGACCCCACCCCCAGCTCTACTGCTGCACCGCTACGTGGTGGCGCGCGTCATCTGGGCGGACATGCTGTCCATCGCGGTCACCTACTTCATCACGCTGTGCCTCTTCCCTGGGCTCGAGTCTGAGATCCGCCACTGTGTCCTGGGCGAATGGCTGCCCATCCTCATCATGGCTATCTTCAACCTCTCGGACTTCGTGGGCAAGGTGAGACGCCACGCGGGGCCCCTGCCTGGGCAGCTGTGGGGGCTCTGGCCAGCTGGGGCATGGCTCCTCTTAGCTCAGGGTTCCCAGGGAAGGGCGCTTCTCCCAGCCAGTGCACCCCATGTGCAGCCACCCCCCCCCCCACCTGACAGTGCAGCTAGTGTGCTGCTGACCAGGTTGCCAGAGCTTCCAGACAGACTAGGAAAAAGGGCCTGGCAACCAGCTTTCAAAACCGAGCCACTGAAAACCCTGTGTGTGGGCCCTAGTTCCCTGACAGACTAGGAAGGAAGGCATGGTGAGCTGTTCCCAAAAGCTAGCCAACAGTCTGATCTGCAACCTATCATTGTTGTTGTTGTTGTTGTTATGTGCCGTTGAGTTGTTTGCAACTCATAGTGACCCTATGTACAACAGCCCTAAACCCTGCTCTATTCTGCACCAACCGCACTGCCTCTGACACTCCCATCCTGATTACCCCAGTCACCAAATCAGTCCTTCTCATAGAGGGTCTTCCCCTCCTGCGCTGTCCCTCCACCCTCCCAAGCATGATGTCCCTCTCCAAGGACCCGTCCCTCCTTGCAACATGGGCTGTTTTATTGCATTGCGTGTGGGGCCCCAGGGAGTTGTGGCCAGTGGGACAGCAGCTCAAAGCAGTGCTGTTGACTGGACTGCAGTGGACAGAGCCGGAGAGGAGAGAGGGGAGAGAGGTGGGCCGGGCAGGGCCGGGGCCTGAGCTGGGGAGGGCTGGGAGGTGCGCTGGGGTCACACCCGCATGCCTGGCTCCCACAGATCCTGGCGGCCCTGCCTGTGGACTGGCGGGGCACGCACCTGCTGGTCTGCTCCTGCCTCCGCGTCATCTTCATCCCGCTCTTCATCCTGTGCGTGTACCCGAGCGGCATGCCCACCCTCCGCCACCCCGCCTGGCCCTGCGTCTTCTCCCTGCTCATGGGCATCAGCAACGGCTACTTCGGCAGCGTGCCCATGATTCTAGCAGCCGGCAAGGTGGGCCCCAAGCAGCGGGAGCTGGCAGGTAAGGCAGCACAGATGCAGGGGTCAGTGGGCACAGTGGCAGGTGGGTCCGAGCCAAGGAGCACAGGGGCTTGGACCGGGTGAGGCCGCAGAGCTGGAGAAAAGGCCAGGCTAGGGGTGGGATTCTTGGTATTTTAGAAAGATTACCTTCTAACTACTTACCTGATACAGCTCGGAACCAGACCCACTGCCATCGCACTGGTTCTGCCCACGGCTGCCCTCCAGTAGCTCCCGAGGCTGCAAACACAGGCCGACTGTCCTGCCCCAGCCTCCCCCACTGACCGGCTAGTGGAATCAAACCCTCGGCCTTTAGGGTCGTGGCTGAGGGTGTAACCGGGGCCCTGCCTGCACTGGTTTTGTTTCTGGCAGGTCAGAGCCCACAGCTGGTCCTATGCTTCATGTTTCCTTTTCTTTTTTTTAAGTGAACATTTGAGATTTGAGTGAAAGTTTACAGAGGAACCTGGTTTTCCACTCAGCAACGAAAGGTCCCTGGGAGAAAAATGTGGAACAAAACCCCAAATCATACAAACAACACTCCCCAGGCTCACTGATCTGACAGAGGCTGGTGGAACCCTGAGATGAAGGCCTTGTCACCCTTCAGTCCTGGAAGTGAACTAACTCACCTTGTGACTCCACTTCCAGCCAAGTAACAGGATGGGAAGGGGATGGGTAACCCCAGGGCCACGCACACTCCACTCCGTGGAACAATCAACTATACATAATCAAAAGGACAGACAGCATTTGGGGGTGGGAGCGCAGAAGGCAGGAAGGTATGCAGAAAAGGTGAGTGGAAACGGGAATCATAGGGTCGGACGGGGGAGAGTGCTGCTACAGTACAGGAGCTTGAAACCAATGTCAAAACCCGTCCTGTGTCCAAATGGCTGGGTGGATTCTCAGCATTATGATGAGGTGTCTGATCTAGTTTGACACTGGGAGGGGAGGGTGAGGGAGTCAGGAAAGGTTTGGGGCATCAGGGCAGAAAAGAGTCCATTGCTCATGACTGGGATGCAGACGGGGTGTTGGAGGGTGTGGGGGTCACTGGGAGTTGGGATTAGGATGGGAGTGGCCCTGTGGAGATGCCCCCTCGACAGACCACACTGTCAGGATGAGGTGGCACCTGGAGGCCAGGGCCAGGATACAGAGGCGGCAGCTGGAACAGATACGGCTGGGGGACACCTAACTCACTCCACCGCCAGGGCCCCTCCGTAGGAGAAGTGTGTAGAGCACGGGGGATGGGGGGGGGTGACTGCGCATGCGCTGCAGCTTCAGGTCAAGCGCGTACTGAGCGCCGCAGCTTCAGGTCAAGCGCGTACTGAGCAGGTCCAGTGCTGTCTGCACCAGGGAGCACACAGCCTAGGGGGTTACACTGCTCACCCCAAGGCCGCTGGTTTGAATCCGCAGGCAGCTCTAAAGGAAAAAGATGGGCAGTATCTTCCCTTGTGATTTATAACCATAGAAACCCACTGGAGAGTCAGCTAGGAGTCAATTCCAACACCTTGGCAATGAGTTTGAGATCTGAGTACATTGTTTTTATTGTTATCATCATCTGAGTAAACACTTACAGAGGGAATTGGATTTCCATTCAATAACAGAGGGTCCCAGTAAGACCAGGAGGCGGTCTCCTGGCCAATCTCTGTTAGTGTCTGAACCAAAGGGCCTGTGTCCCCGAAACACCACCCTCCTCCCCCAAGAGAGGGTGACAGTGTGACCAAGGCTGTGGTGGTGGGCCCCACTGCCCGGTCCCCACGGCTCAGGCCCTGTCCTGCCCGCAGGTAACACCATGACCGTGTCCTACATGACAGGGCTGACGCTGGGCTCGGCCGTGGCCTATTGCACCTACAGCCTCACCCGGGATGCCCCCAGCAGCTGCTTCCACTCTGACACCACCAACGGCTCCTTCCCCGGCCTCTGAACAGGCCAGCCCTGCAGGGACCACTTGGTCGGGGCCCGGACACCCTCTGAGGCCCGAGGGCCCCTCCTCACCCCCGCCGGCAGTGCCTGCAGGGGCCCCGGCCGCCTCCTGTGCCAATCACACCACCCTCCCCAGGTCCAGTGCCCCTGGGGCGCTGCCCTCACTGTGGTCCACTTCTAGCCCCTCTCCCTCTGTGTCCAGTGACCCCACTGTGCCCAAGCCCCTGCTTCTAGGGGTTAGACTCTCAGATGTCCCAACCTAGAAGATGACAGACCCTACACAGCGTCTCCCACATGGCCACCCAACCCCAGCCTCAGGTTACATGGGCCATGGTTCCCCTTCGCTGGGGACCCTTTATGAGCCATGACCACAGAGGGCAGTCTCAGCCCTGTCACTCCAAGGCCCCTGCCCTGGAATCCAGTTTCACCCCAAGTTTCACAATGAAGAGACTTCAGCCCGTATCTACACAGATCCAGACTCCTTTGTAGAAGTGTCTCAAGAGCCAGCACCTGTGTCTTGGGCACCCCACCCCCCTGGCTGCCATATACTCAGAACCACTAGCACACCCCTCCCCCATGCTATGGAACTGAGGGCTCGAGGACCCCATGGCCTTCCCTGTCTCCTCTTCACCTGCTGGTGGTACAGTAAGGGGACAACGGGGGGTCTCAAAGGAAGCACCCCCACATCCTGCAATGAGGGACATAGGGGACTGGAGCCCAGCCTGGAACCTGGAGCCAAGACAGCCTTTCCCAAGAGGAGCAAGTGGGAACATGCCCACCCTTCCACTCCTACCCCCCTGCTGTGACCACCCAGCCCTGCTGTAAGCGTCACCCGTCTGTCCACTGACTGGACTGCACCGGCCATTAAAGACGTGGGCCTGGGGCCACCCTGCCGCTGCCTCAAGGGCATCTCTGTGGGCGGGTCAGCCTGGGAGGTGGAGAGGTTCCAGAGCACCTGGCGCCCAGGACCCTGCTCTGCTCGAGTGGAAGAAGTGGCCCTCCTGGCCCTTTAGCCTGAAGTCACCAGGGACACTGAGAGGGGATCAGGCAGCAGGAGGGTCTCCATACACCCGGTGGGCGTGGCCAGGTTTATCCAGGGAGGGGGGATGGGCGATCTCAAGGAGGGGGTGCAGTTAGATGCCTGTGACAGGAAGCTGGCTCCCACGCAGTGCACCCCTGGACTGATCCTCCAGTGACGCTCTCCTGGATGGGGTCCTGTGGAAGAGGTTTGGGGGAATGTCCAGGCTGGGACAGGGAGAGAGTGAACCCCCGGGAACCCCCAGGCATCCTCCTCTCCGTAGCCCTGCGGCGGCCACAAGGACACAGCACCAGGTGATTCCTGAGACTCCTGCCTCCTGCCAACCACACATGGGCACCGGGACATGACCCGGCCCTGGGGAGGCTGGACGGGACCTCAGCGGACCTTCCCGGTGGACGCTCTGAGCCAGATTTCAGTGTGTGTCCCCGTGTGTGGGTCCTAACTGGACCTCTTTGCAACATAGCCAGGCACACAAGTAGCAAACCAAAGGCCAGAATGTCAAGTGCATCCACACAGGCCAGTCCTCATCCTCCAAGGGCACCTATGGTCCCTTAAAGCCCACAGTCTCAGCAATGGAGAGGGGTGGCCATGCAGGTCCAGGGCAGCCTCATAGACCTTTCCTTCACCTCCCCTCGGTGCTCCCAGCCTCCAGGACCAGAAAGCCCCTGGCCCCCCTGCCTCCAGGATACACAGCTCACGCAGAGGAGGGCTCCTGGGGACACAAGGCCAGAGACACGCAGCCATGGCCACCCCTTCTCGTGAGGTCACAGGAGGTTGGGGGGTTCTAGCTTTTGTAGAGCGCGCCCTTTATTTACAAGCCACCTCTGCCCATCCTGGAGGTTGCACGAGGGAAGGAAGCGCACTCTGGTCGTTGGGTGGTGCCAACAGCTGATGCATTCCACTGCTAAGCAGAAGGCTGGAGGTTCAAGTCCTCAGAGGTGCCGCAGAGCAAAAGCCAGGCAATCTACCTCTGGAAAAACCAGCCATCAGGAAACCCAGGGCTCCTGAAAGGACAGTTAACAGCAGGCCGTCCCTTGCTGGGAGCTGGCCACAGGGGGACTCCTGCCCCCACCGTGGCCGCCCAGACTGTGCCACCTCCAGCTGGGCTGCCAGCAGTGTGGGCACAGGCCAGGAGCGCCCAGCCAGACACTTTAAAAGGGACAGAAGCAAGACCTCCCACCCTAGGTGCCATTACTAGGATTCGGTGCCATTAATGAGGGATGTTCAGAAACTTCACCGAGGCCCGTTTAGCTGCCTCTGCTGACCATGTCTGCTGAGCACTGGGACGTGGCCAGCGAAGGTCCCACGGGGAGGGCACGGTCTGCACCTGAATAGTGACCGGTGGGTGAGAGCCCATCTTCCGAGGGGAAAAGACTCGGCAACCTACACAGTAAGGATTACAGCCAGCGGGGCGTTCAGATTCCCAAAACATGGCAACTGCAGGCACAAGCCAACCAGCCTGACCAGAAAACGGTGGCTGGTGAGACCACGCGAGTGACCCGTGTGCCATCGAGTCGTTCTGGCTCCCAAAGGCCCCAGGTAAGCGGATGAGCCTGGTCCTTCACCCTCACTACCTCTGCTGGCCTCCTGCCCACTGCTGGTCACCACCAGGTCAGTCGGACTCGCAGCATCCCGCCCCCCCACCCCGAACACACAAGACCGGGCAGTTACAATCCACAAGGGTTACCGAAGTTGATGTTTTAAAGCTCTCCCGGTCTCCCTTCCATGAAGAAGGCACCGTAGGTGAAGGAGGAGACCCCTGCCCCTCCCCAAACTGAAGCCCAGGCGTTCAAGGCCAGGCTGGCATTCTGAAGGGCACCCACAACCACAAAGCAAAGATCTGCACGTCACCACCTTCCAGCGGCCTACGACGCCGAGACCCTGAAGGCAGCCCAGATACCCCCGGAAGAACGATCCCAGGAGACACAAGCTTGACCACTGTGCCAGCATCAAGTCTCCCCTGACCACTGAGTCAGCCATGAGGAAGACAGAACAACACACGTGTGTTCACTGTGGATGTCAAGGCCACAAGCACCAGATCAAATAAGCTGTGGAGACGCTCTCTGACACTGACGGGCCAAGGTCAGCACCTTGACCAGGCCTGATGGAGAGAAGGAGGCCTGTGCTCAAGTCCCTCCTGACTAAGACACTTAGGATGCTGCCAACAAAACTGGGATCATCTACACTGAGTCCGGCCGGCTAATTCAAATGTTTCTCACCAAAAATTGAAAGGATCTCCAGGCCTTGCTTCTGGCGTTACGTCTGGAAGAGCCCTGAAGTTCACTGGCCAGGAATTGAACCTGGGACTCCAGCTCCACAGGCAGGAAGTGCAGCCCCACCCCCACTCGCGTGTTAACAGCCATCACCTTCCCCAAACCCGCGCCGCCCACCCCACCAGCCGTGAAATAAACCACTCCGACAACGGTGCTTTTCCAATGAAATCTTTTTGTCTTGTCTTTTCTTCTTCTTTTTTTTTTTTTTATGAAAAAGATCACACAGAATTCGCCAACAAACAAAATTCCAAAAGAAACTTAAAAAAAAAAAAAGAAAACAAAAACAACAATAATCCCCCAAAAATCAAAACCGAAATCTGGCTTTTCCTTCCCTCAAGATTGTCGGCTGCTCCCCTGGAAGGCTTGGGGGGCTAAGTGCTTCTGAGCGAGGCCGGGGCGTCCCTGGCGGAACTCTCCTCTCTCTCCTCTCCCTAATTCCTTATCCATCGGGGGGGGGGGCAAGTACAGTACAGGGGGGCTCGGGGGCAGGCAGGTGGGAGTGTGCGTGGGGACACGGGCGGTTTGGCACCCACAATCTAACAGGAAATAAAAAATAATATTCTGCACATCAGAATGTGTTTGCTTTTTTTTTCCTTTTTTATAATTTCATAGCTATTTTTTTCACAGCTTTATATATATAATTAAAAAGTTGACTCCATTTAAAGGCATATGATACAGGGGTGGGGCTAGAGTCTCTTGGTACAAGAAAACTGTACAGATTAAGAACTGCCTCCTCGCGGGGTGGCTGAGGCCTGGCCGCAGAGGGGCCGGGGGGGCCGGGGCAAGGGTTTCAGCACCATGGGGGTTGTCTGTAGTGTGAGGGTCTGGGCCAGGGTGTGGCCCAAGTGTAGCCTCCACCTGGTGCCTTGCCGGTGCTCCAGGTCTCTGCCCTCACCTGACAGTGATCCCCAAGTTCCAGGCCGTCCTGAGAGGGCGGAGGCCCAGGCTCCTGGCAGGACACCAGGAGCGGGCCTGGCACCGTTGGTGAGGCTGGCTGGTGCTGAGCTGCCCCGTCCTGCGGCAGGAGGTCTTGGGCTGGGCTCCGTGCTGAGATGGCTGGACCCTGGCAGCCCTGAGGAGGTCCCGAGGCAGGAGAAACACCCCAGAGCATCCGTTTGGTTCCTTGGAAAAGCCCTCTCTCCCCACTGAGTCCCCCAGTCTGAGTCTTGGGTGCCAGCTGGCGTGGGCCTGGGGGCGCCTGGGTCTCACGCAGCAAGCAGCCTGGGGCCTGGAGGGCCAAGTGCTTACAGGGTGCTGGGTGGCCTGAGGGGGGTGGGCAGAGCGATACCCTGATTGTTGGGAGGAGCCCCGGCTGGGGGCGCCAAGGGGTGTGGAAGGGGGTGTGGAGGCGCGTGCACACGCATGCACGCACGTGCATGCATACAGGTACACACGTGTACACGCCGCTCGGTCCCGTGGGCGTGTGCACGCCCGCGGGCACACTGCATGCACGGGGCCGTGGGCATGTGCCCTGTGGTCTGGGAGGCCTCCGGCCATGGCAGTGATGTGAGTCCCTGGGCCTGGGGGCAAGGCAGCTGGCGGAGCCCTTGGCGGCCGGCTCAGCAGAGCACGGGCACGCCGTCGGTGGTGAAGATCATGCCCGTGGTGGGCTCGTAGGTGCCTGCGAGGTAGTACAGGCCCTCGCTGTCCTGGTACTTCTTGGTCTTCAGCATCTGCTCGTACTGCTCCAGGCCCACCACCAGGCACTTGTGGGACACCGTTTGCACGTCGTTCTCGTCCACATGCGAAGACTGGTACAGGGCGCGCTGTGGGCGACGGACAAGTGGTGGTCAAGGGTGCAGGGCAGGCGGCAGTCAGGGACATGGGGAAGGCAGGGGGCGTGGGGGAGGCGGCGGTCAGGGATATGGGAAAGGCAGGGAACGTGTGGTGTGCACAAGCAGTGGTCAGGGACACAAGAAAGGCAGGGGGCGTGAGGTGGGCAGCAGTCAGGGACACAGGGAAGGCAGGGGACGCATGGTGGGTACTGGTCAGGGGAGGTTGGGTCAGCAGGCGTCTTGGGGTGGTGGGCAGTGGGCAGACATTAAGGAGCTCACAAAGGCGGTCAGCATGTGGGGGAGCAGGGTGTATGAGGTACGAGGTGGGCAGACGGGGGTGCAGGATGGATGGTGGTCATGGGTTTGGAGTGGGAGGCACTGGGGCAGGGCCAAGGAGTAGACAGGTCGAGGGGAGGCAGAGCAGGTGGGAGCACAGGGAGATGGACTGGGGATGCCTGGCAGGTGTGGAGCATGATCAAAGGGTGCGGAGTGGGTGAACTCTGTCATGGGGTGCTAGGCAGACAAAGCCCGGTCACACGGAAGAGATGACTGGTCCCTCCTGGGGACCCCAGAAAAGGAGACTCACAGAGAATGAGAGAGACAGAGATGGAGACAGACAGATGAAGAGATCTGAAGGGAATGAGAGAAAGACACTAAGACAGACCCAGAGCCCAGACGGGACAGAGAGGAGGGAACACTGAGGGACAGACGGACAGAGAATGGCAGGGGGGCCCCTCAACGAGGAGGGAGCTGAGGGTCTCCACCCCTGGCCACATCTGGGAAGGTCCGGACGTGACACCCAGGAACCCCAGGGCCCCCAGGCCCCTACCTCCATGAAGTCCTTCCTCTGGCTGGAGGCTTGTAGAGCAGCAGGGAGGCTCCGGCCCGACTTCTGGTCCCAGGGCTGCCGAAGGGACAGGAGGCGTGTGAGCACCGCCAGGGCCTCGGCCTCAGGGCAGGGCTCTCACCCCACAACCTCCCTATTCTGTCATGGTCATTTCCAGAGGTCACTTGTTGCCTTAACAGCCTAGTCCCTCAGGGGACCTCTAGGAAGCTCGGACACTGGACTAGATATGAACATATGAACATGGACTAGACCACCTGGGGAGATCATCTAGCCTTTGGAGGTCAAAAGTGGGGGAACCGTAGAATTTCAAAGTATCAAGGCGTCCAGGCTTCTGGGAGCGCGGCTCACCGGACCCTAGAGCACCTGGACACCTGGACACCACAGGAGGCGGCAGGTGGCGGACGCAGGGCTCACCTGGCCTTCATGGAACTGCTTTCCCGGGCTGGTCTCCTCGGGATGGTAGAACCACTTAACGCGGACCACCATGTTGTTACCCCAGGACTCCCACATGCTCTGGATGCGGCCGATATAAGGCAAGTTGGGGCGGCCAGCAGACAGGAAGACAGCACAGTCCCCGATGCGGATCATCTCCTTGCCTCGCACGATGGCCTTGTAGAAGAGCTTGCGGGCTTTGCCTTTCATGCCACGCCGCTGTGGGAGGGCCAGCCATCAAGGGAGGTTAACCAGCACCACACCCCCCAGAACCTCAGTCCAGACCCGCCCGCCTCCTGGTACCCTTTCACTCTGGCCTCTGAGTCACCTCTGTTCCTGGATACCTTTACTGAGTGTTTTGATCAAAGATTACAGAGAACAGTCACTATCGAAAGGGATAAAGTGTAAAACCAAACATCAACTTATCATGGAATCCAGACTTTCTGGAACCATGGAGGCTGGATTAACTGATCCTCCAAGTGAGTTTTGGGAGGCTGCAGATGACATGGGAGACACAGCCCTCGGAGCAGGCTGGTGGAACAGAACTGCTAGAGCTGCTTCCTTTGGGTAAGGAGAGCTACCCCCTACAAGACTATGCCACCAGAATTCAAGAAGCTAGATCTAAAAATTCCTCTTTCCCTTTTCACTTGGCTGCCAGACAGCTCAATTTTAATTTTAATTCTTAGAAGGGATCTAAATTGGGGAAATCTACATACAAATTTATTTCACTCAATACTGTTCTTTTTTTTTTTCTTTTAATTCACTGGGCCCCTTGTAGTGATCAGACTTTATCATTTATAACCTCTTACATGTTCTGTGAACAGCTCTAAATCCTTTCAATTCAAAGTATTCACAAGGTAGCATTGGCTAAGAGTAGTACTAAACCCACGCCCCTCAGAAAGCGACTGTATTCTTGCCAGCTAACTTTCTGTCCTAACAACCTCTTCCTGACTTAGTCTGACCAATCAGATCATCCTACCATCTGGGTCCTTGTGGTTTGGGAAGAGGCTCACCACCCAGTGCCCAGCCCCAGGTCATTGTGATGGGCTTAGGGACAGGCTCATGACTGAAGCCAGAGATAATCAAACTAGAACCTGGACCACTGAGAAAACATGCATCTCCTTCACCTCCAGCCATTACTGTGAGCTAAGAGCATCTTGTGAGTCCAAAACAAAGGGAGAGGAGTAACCTTTACAGTATAGAAAGGAGACTGATTCTGAAGACACCCTTTGAGTCCCTGGATCTAGCTGTACCTGAAGCCAGACGCCCACTAGAGCATTCCCTTCTTGATGGACATGACTTAGAATGGCCAGTCGGAGCATTCTCTTCCTCCTGGCTTACGATTCGCACCCAATCCCCAGCTCCAGGAGTGGGCACCTGACTTGGTCTGGCCAACCAGAACATTCCCTCCTGTTGGCCATTGTGCCTGATTTGAAGATGGGCTCACTGTCCAATCCGCACCCCGAGGAGTAGACTTTTCTAAAAATGTCCATCACTTTTCCTTTGGCCATCAATCCACTCAATCCTACGGAGTTCTGTTCTTCCGCAGCAGTGAAGGCCGGCCAGTCTGGACATCAGAATTCCAGGTGGTGTGAGGAAGTGGCCGGGGTCAGGGTCAGGGTTAACGAGCTGCATGCCACCCTCCTTCACATGTCCCCTCAGCAGCCAGGTTACAGCCCTAGGGGGGCTGGCCCAACACCATGGGTTGGGGGTATCTGCCTGCATGCTTTTGAAAAAGAGCCTGGAGAATCTATGGGGTCCAGACGTCCCTCAGAAAACGCAGCCAGCCAAGAAAGGCTCTGTCCACCTGCCCTCCAATCCTGGGCGGGTCTACAGTCTGATAGTCAGACTGGTTCAAGGAGCCAGGAGATCTGCTCCAAGTTCAAGGCAGTGCAGAATGAGGCAGGGTCTGGAGGGAGTGGGAGGAAGTTGAGGCCCTGCCACGTGCTTTACAGTGGGGATGGGTCCTCACGGAGCCCCACGGAGGCTCAGGGCTTAGGGGACAGCTGCTAACAGAAGTTCTGCTCCAGCAGCACTGGGGAGCGGGGACAACAGAGGCTCGGAAGACAGTGTCCACCACAGTGCTGTTCACAACCCACGTTAACCACAGATGGCTGGAGAAAGGAAGAGTGCATGGCCTGGTTGAGGGACATAGGGCAGGCAAGCCCGGGGCCAGGGCACCGAGCCTTCATCCTGCCGGGGCCAGAGCCCCTGGAACGGACCAGTGGCCACAGGGGCCATTTGCCTTCTCTACCCGAAGCTTCTGGAACACCTGCCCCATTCCTTCCACCACCACCTCATTATGTAGGGGCTGGGTCATGCCGAGACCTAAGGAGGACCTGCTGTGGTCCTTCCCACTCCACCCAATCTCTGGACACTCCCCACACATCGTGGAGACAGGGCCTGATCTACTCATTTCACGACCTTGGGTGGGCACCGACTCAGTACAGAAATCCCAGCAATGGGATTCCACCACCTCGCCTTCCCCACGCCTCTACCTGGCCGGCTGGGAGGACACACAAGGACAGGAGTCGGCCCCGCCCGGTGCCTGGTACCTGAGTGGGCTTGCCGAACCACTTCCAGAGCTGGCGGGCCGGCAGGAAGGCGGCAATCTTGGGCCGGTTCTCCACAGACGGCAGGCGCTGCCGCTTGGCCAGCTCCTTGGTGGTGGGGAGGTGGACGCCTTCCCTCTTTTTGGGCCGGCT